ACCAAACGACGCCGAAAAAATATATATATTGATGACAACGAACGACAGGGAGAGAGAGAGAGAGAGAGAGAGAGAGAGAGAGAGAGAGAGGAGAGAGAGAGAGAGAGAGAGAGAGAGAGAGAGAGAGAGAGAAGGGAGGAGGGGGGGGGGGGAACACATCCAGGGAGATGCAGAATGTTATGAGGTGAAAAAGCAACGAACCATCTGAAGAATGATTTTTAATAATAGAAAAAAAAAACATGTTAAAGTAAAGGACAAGAGAAAAAGAAGGAAAACCAAAGAAAATCAAAATGCATCTAACATTCACGAGGTGAAGAAAAGGACGAGTGGTTAGACGTTAGGGAAAATAAGATCATTTACGGAGGGGGGGGGGACCTTAGCAGGATCTCGTGTTCTATTTCTATCACGTAAATAATAATAATAATAATAATAATAATAATAATAATAATAATAATAATAATAATAATAATAATAATAATAATAATAATAATAATAATAATAATAATAATAATAATAATAATAATAATAATAATAATAATAATAATAATAATAATAATAATAATAATAATAATAATAATAATAATAATAATAATAATAATAATAATAATAATAATAATAATAATAATAATAATAATAATAATAATAATAATAATAATAATAATAATAATAATAATAATAATAATAATAATAATAATAATAATAATAATAATAATAATAATAATAATAATAATAATAATAATAATAATAATAATAATAATAATAATAATAATAATAATAATAATAATAATAATAATAATAATAATAATAATAATAATAATAATAATAATAATAATAATAATAATAATAATAATAATAATAATAATAATAATAATAATAATAATAATAATAATAATAATAATAATAATAATAATAATAATAATAATAATAATAATAATAATAATAATAATAATAATAATAATAATAATAATAATAATAATAATAATAATAATAATAATAATAATAATAATAATAATAATAATAATAATAATAATAATAATAATAATAATAATAATAATAATAATAATAATAATAATAATAATAATAATAATAATAATAATAATAATAATAATAATAATAATAATAATAATAATAATAATAATAATAATAATAATAATAATAATAATAATAATAATAATAATAATAATAATAATAATAATAATAATAATAATAATAATAATAATAATAATAATAATAATAATAATAATAGTAAAAGTAACCAATAGTAATGGTGATTACACTAATGTCAACAAAATAAAAAAGAGCGAAAACAATCTTACAAAAAGAATACACAAAACTAAATATAAATACAAAAACAAGTTGTTGTTGCTTTATACGGAATAAATAAATGGACTGCTTTGCCGAAGACACAAGTCCTTTCTTTTCCGCTCATATCTTTAGCATTCATTCGTCACCCGAGTATACAAAGGGGGAAAAAATCATATCGCGGGCCAAAAATAACACCAAATGAAAGCAGAACCAATCAATAGACAAATAGATCGTGGGATGATGGACGGAGGAAAAAAAGGAGAGAGGAGAGAAAAATAAACAGAAAGAAAGGAAAGATAAAGAACTAAAAAAGAGAAAAAAAACGACGCAGAAGACCCCTTCGTCGAGGGCAAACCAATGCCCAGATTCCCTCCCCCAAGCCTTCTGCAGGCGGTTCTCCTCCAAGAAGACGCCGTGGAAGGCACTCGCAAAACAATGCCGACGCCGAGCTCGAACGCACGAGGCCGGCGTGAATACAAACGTGAATGGAGACGCGGCGTAGAAGCCGTCGACGTGGAAGGCGTGGAAGGCGTGGGATAGAGCGGACATACGCATAATCACAGTAGATGGTGTGGGCGTAGATGGCGTGGGCGTAGAAGGCGTAGAAGGCGTAGAAGGCATACACGCTGCAGGTGGAGGCGACGCGAGCTCATCAAAGGTGGCTGTGATACGACGTCCATTCTCCGCGTCACACCCACTTTGACGGCTCCCGCAACGCCTCCGGATCGCGCCCGAGGGTACTCAGGCCTCCCGATGGCGGCACCGGCGAAGAACAGGAGGACGCGTCTTTGGCTTTCCTTCCATCATTTACCCTCGTCCTATTCAGTTTCTTCTTCCTTTTTTATCGTCAATTACCTTTCAGATAGTTTCTTTCTTCTCCGTCCACCACCTTCGGTATCCTGTCTAGCTCCTCCCCCTCCTCCTTCTTCCTCCATCTTGTAACGGAGAGAAGAAATCTTACTCTTCCTCTCTGTCCTATTCCCTCATTCCATCTTCTTCCCGAGTCAGTTCGCTTCTTCAATTAATCTTTGTTTTCTTTTTCGTCTTACATTCACCTCTTTATCAAACGCCTCTTCAAATTCTTACATAACTACGCTTTACAGATTTGTGTATCCTCGGCACCTAACTAGCATCTCGTTGAAGTTCGTAATTTGAAGATCGGAAAGGGAGAGAGAGAGGAGCGAGGGCAGGGAGGAGGAGGAGGAGGAGGAGGAGGAGGAGGAGGAGGAGGAGGAGGAGGAGGAGGGGGAGGAGGAGAAGGAAGGGGGGGCGGCGGCCTGGAGGGGATCGAAAGGGAGGCAGGAGTAGGAATAGGCGTGGGTGGAGCGGAGGAAAGGATTGAAGGAAATGGAGGATTAGGAGGAGGAAGAAGAGGAGGAAGAAGAGGAGGAGGAAGGAGGAAGAAGAGGAGGAGGAAGGAGGAAGAAGAGGAGGAGGAAGGAGGAAGAAGAGGAGGAGGAAGGAAGAAGAAGAGGATGTGGATAAAGATGAGGAGAAATAGGAGGAGGAAGAGGAGGAGGGGAAGGGCGGCATAGAGGGGATCGAGAGGAAAGGCAGGAGTAGGAATAGGCGTGGGAGGAGTAAGAGGGATAAGAGGTGGGCGGGGTGGGGGCGGGGGGGGGGGAACAGAGACGCAGAGGAGGGAGAATCGCGGGCGTGAAGATGAAATGATCATCAGTATTCCGCCCACGTGGCCGCCAGGGGAGGTAGGCGGGCGGTCGGCCTAAGCCAAACCACGAGACCAACCCAAGGATCAATACAACCTGACGCCCATTCCCATTCTCGCTCATTCCGCTGTAGCTACGACCCCCCCCCCCCCCACCCGCTCATGGGGAGTCAGGTAGGTAGGGAGGATGGGTGCTCAGTGAGTCAGTGAGTCGAGGCGTGAGAGTTCGGCGTGTGTGTGTGTGTGTGTGTGTGTGTGTGTGTGTGTGTGTGTGTGTGTGTGTGTGTGTGTGTGTGTGTGTGTGTGTGTGTGAGAGAGATGCCGTGGCGTGCCCCGCTTTCTCTCCTGAGCAGGAAAATGATGAAAAAAGAAAAGCAGCTCGAGTTCTCCTGCCTAAGCCTAATCACCAGACACTCCCAAGATAAAAACAATAAGGAAAAAATAATAAATACAATAGAAACGCTGTTCAGGTAATCGGCCCCGCCCGCCGTCCACAGCAGGTGCCAGAGCGCGGGCGTGGGCGGAGCGTGGGCGGGAAAGGGGCGCCGCGCACCCATCCAGGAGGGAGCGAAAGGGCGGCGGGCCCTGCTCATCAAAGCTGGCTGTGATAGTATAGCGATCAGCGAGCTATGACAAACCAGTTTGATGCCAGAGCCCGCCGCACGAGTCGGCCTTCTCGCACTCAGCTCCGACGCTCCTCTTCTGCAGGCGGCTCCTCGCTCGCTCGGGCACGCGGCGGCCGCCACGGCCTTTCCTTCCGGCCAGAGCTCTTTCTCGCTATCTCCATCTACAGAAAAGGGGCGAGGCAAGGCCACCGGAGGCAGGGGTTGACGACGCGGGCTAGCTGACGACGACGACGACGACGACCACGCTGGAAGAGGCAACGGCGAGCCCCGTGAAAGACAAGGTAGTGAGATGTTGCCATGTCTTACATCTCACTACCCATGTCTTTCACAGCGCCCCCGCCGTGGGCGTGGCGACGCACAGGTCCTTCTTGCCATTACGCTAGGACGATCTCACAGAAATACTTCAATGGCGGAGTTGTGCAACTGACGCAGGGTGGATGCAGGGGACAGAACACACGATAGAGCGAAAGACATCATCTATCTGCTCATACCTAGGTCGCTTCAGAAAAAAACAACAACTGTATCACATACTCGCGCAAAGGCACCTTTCTTTTCTCTCGCCTAATCGACAAAAACTAATGAAATCAAAATAATTTCCTGGCCCACTTTACCTAACCAGCTCCCCTTAAGCCACAGTTACTTGCAACTGGTCGCCTGGAGAAAATGGCCGGAATGGAAGGAAGATTGGGCATCGAAGAAACGAAAAAAAGCAAAGCATTTAAAAAGTATCATCTGTTACTTTCCACTGCCATATGCAGATCCCCCGACAAAAAAAGTATCACAAAGTACCAATAACAACTGCAGTGACCGTGTCAATGAAAAAGTGGCAATCATGACCAAACACGAAAATAGGGGCAAACCAGCCTTTTTGAAACCCCATCCGTTACCGCCTAAAATACGTAATAAAGACAACGCGAAAAGCACACTATATATACACCCCTTAAAACAAACGACCACACGACATACACCCTACAAATCTATTATCTTCAATCTGCTTAAAATTCATTATCCCCAAATCCCTCCCCCCTCCCCCCCTCCCCCGCCGTGCCACGTCACCCTCTTTTACACGTGACTCGGGTGAACCTGACCTGACCTGACCTCGCTTCCCGTCGTCTCTCTCTATCTCTTTCTCTCTCACGCCCTCATACACATCCGGTTGACCTGACCTGACTCTCTCCCTCCTTCCCCACCCTTTTCCCACTTCATTTAACCTCAAGGACATTTGCATATTAATACCATGGGAAGAACACAATATAACAACCATCTGTCCTTACCTCACTTAAACTTATTATTATTATTATTTTTTTTACATGAGACATTATATACATTAAACGTGACTCATTGGCCACGCCATTACCGTGTCTAATACACAAGAAAAAACACAAGAAATCAACCTATCTAAAAATGTTCTTATTCTTTTTTTTTACATCTTATCAGGCAAAAAAAATCCTCTAGCTTTTTTACTCTAAATAACCATCATCTTATCAAATACTTCTCCACCAAACGACAAAAATCATCTAGCTTATTGATCACCACCATCATCACCCAAATATATATATTCTTTTCAACAACAGCAGAGCAACCGAGACTCGGCCGCGACTCACCGCCACAGCCTCTGTCTTGAAGTCGTCCATGGCATCCGGGCACGTGAGGTCCAGGATGACGGGGCACACCTGATCGTGCACGTCCGAGCGGGACACCAGCTCTTGCTCCAGCAGAACCAGCAGCGCCGCCTGTGACGTCTTGCGAACCTGGCGGAGGAAGGGACGGGGGGGAAATGAGTGGCTGATGGATAGTGCCCATAGTAATGCTGCCATCTATAAGTATCATTAAACAAAGACAACAATAATGATGATAATTACAATGGATAATGAAACAGAAATACAAAAATAAAAAAATAATTATCTTAAGTCACACCAAATGACATAGTACTTGAACAATTAATGAAAATAAAGTTGTTCTCGCCTCCCATGTTTCTACTAATCCGAAGTATTTGCATTATCACCATTACAATTTTCATCATACACAGAACTATTGTCTTCTATGCTGTCGTTATCGTCAGTTATTGAAGTAATTATTGCTTTAAACATCTTCCTAATTTTAAGACTCGCGAGACACCCGAGTGCTGGGACGTAATTTCACACGCTAGAAAAATAATAACTAATGACAATTGCTTTAGTAGCAACAACACTAATTATAAAAAAATAACAGATAACTAAAGCAATTAAAACAGCAACTACAATAACTACCAAAACGTTGATATTGCCCCCTCCCCTGCCATTTCTCCCTCCTCCTCCTCCTCCTCCTCCTCCTCCTCCTCATCCTCGTGGTCTCCTTCCTTCCTAATATTTCTCTTCTCTCTCTTCCCCTGCTCTTCCTCCCTACCCCCCCTGCTTTCTTCTCCCTCCCATTTCCTTCCATACCCTATATCCCTCCCTTTATACCTCCCCCTCTATTTCTCTCTCCCCCACCCACGCCCCCACCTCCACCCACTCCACAACTCCCACCACCACCCCCCCGTTTCTTACCTGGTTATTGGGGTCTGTGAGGTACTTAACTACCATGGGCACCAGGTTGTTGGCCACGACCCCGCCCAGGTGTTCCGGGTACTCGTGGCACAGCACCGCGATCTGGGGCACTTGTTCCATGAGCTCCGTCCTCACCGCCGCCTCTGCCGAAGGAAAAAAAAAAGAGGGGAAACGTTAGAGAGATTGGGCGCCAGGGACTTAAGAATGGTGTTTCAAGCGCGACACGAATGATGATAATGATAATAGCAACTATAATAATAAATATAATGGTAATACTAATGATAGTGATAGTAACAATAATAACAATGATGATGATAATACTAGTAACAGTAATAGTACCTATAATAATACCGATATTAACACTAATAATCCTCATTTTTAGCAATAACCATAATAACAAAATAACCCTAATCTTAATCTTCAAAAAAATAATAGCAACAACAACAATAAAACGAAAAAAAAGCTATCAACTCAAGCGCATTACAAGGAGTGCTAATGATCATGGACATGATGAAAGCCATAAAACAGTCCTAGAGCCGCTGCCAAGCGTCGCCGTAAAAGCACAGAATCTGTCTTGGCCAATCCTTGGGGGAAAGTGCTCAGGTATTTGCACACGGGTAAAAGAACACACTTAAGCGCGCGCGCGCGCGCGCACACACACACACACGATATGATGCACCTCCGCACTGAGTAGAGTAAGAGTTATGATAAAAAACTCTACAGCGCACACGCACAATGTTTTAAAAAATAACGGCAATTAATAAATAATTCATTTGGTAATACCAATATAGGTAAATTTCGTTAATAATATATAAAGAAGTAATCACATTATGAACAAGCGCCGTTGGTAATAAGGAGTCATTCTACGCCTTCTTCCTCTCTCTCTCTCTCTCTCTCTCTCTCTCTCTCTCTCTCTCTCTCTCTCTCTCTCTCTCTCTCTCTCTCTCTCGAATAACAACGATGCCGCAAATGATACAAAATATAATAATAATAATAATAATAATAACAATAATAATAATAATAATAATTCAATCCACCTTACATTTCATAGTAAATGTAAATACGAGGCAAGTGTGCGTACGACCGGCAGGTATACGCACGACGTAATAATGTCAGATCGGGCAAGTCAAAACCAGTATAACGACGTAAGTACTAAATATAACAGACAAGTACTTATAAGGACTTTGTGTACGAACAGCGGTGAGACTGACAATTTAGACACGTAACCTAGCAATTACGTGGAGGCGAACTGCATCATCACGTTAGTAAATAAAGAGTAAAGAAACCAATAAGAGAATCCCTATACCGCGCGCGTGAGAGAGAGAGAGAGAGAGAGAGAGAGAGAGAGAGAGAGAGAGAGAGAGAGAGAGAGAGAGAGAGAGAGAGAGAGAGAGAGTGAGAGAGAGAGAGAGTGAGAGAGAGAGAGAGAGAGAGAAGAGAGAAGAGAGAAGAGAGAGAGAGAGAAGAGAAAAGAGACGAGAGAGTAGAGCGGGAGAATGGGGAGAGAGAGAGAGAGAAGTACCGTGTTTAATGCTTTATCGTCTTGAATCTATTTACCGAAAAAAATCAACGGTATAATTCTACTTATAAACTTACTACGAAAAACAATCAAACCAGTCGTAGTTGTACTAGAACTAAAATAAAATCGTAATAATAATAATAATAATAAATAAATAATAACATTAATGATGGCTATGCTATTACTAGTAACAGCAATAGTAGTACTAATAGTAACAGCAACAATAAAAGTAATAACAAAAACGACGATGCTGATGATAACAATATCAATAACAATAACAACAACAACAATAAAATCACTAGCAGTAGCCTAACAATCCAAAAATAACACAGACAGCAACACCGACGAGGATAATGTTGTTGATGACGAAACTTTCCTCTTGCACTCGGCGACCTCAACTAACGCGGGCGGGGGTCGACTCTTATAATAAAAACGCTTACTGCAGCAAAATAACTTATAACCACCATTCAAAAAAAAGGATGAAATTACTTGAACAAAAAAGGAATTCGCCAACGATATGAGAAAACTAAAACCTTTACATATCTATATAAATTGACAACTTCCCGAAGAATAAAGACAAGTGTATTCCATAAATAATAATAATAATAATAATAACAAACATATACCAACATTAACACTTACAGCTCTTTGCGGAAAAACATAATACTATTTCTAGCTTCTTATATCTGCATCTACCTATTTAACAATTCATTATAAATCTATATACTCCGAGTTTCGAAGCGCTCTGTTATTGTTTATTTATGTATATTTATCCCTTTAATACGATCTGGTTATTGTATATCTACGTGTAACCGTGTATTTTCCTACAGAGAGTAGAACTGCTCTTTTAGTCTCCTACATGTTTATTCCAATTTGCCTTCCCATCTTTATCTGACCTTCCTCTTGCTTCCTACGCCGTTATCCGAACCTCAACTACATCCATCCTCGACGTTTCCTACGATCTTCACTCAACTTCATCCACTATACCCATCCATCCATTCCCTCACCCCCCCCCTTCGAAGCCTCGGCGGGGTTCCTAACCGCACAGAAATCCACACTAATCCGCACTCGGGTTTCGAACACAAACAACCCTAGGCCTATCCGAACCGCGTCTCGTCAAACGGATTATGCTTCACACTATCACACGTTTCCGACCGACCCCTTCTCCCACTAGGGTGTAACACTAGCTTTCTCTTTCGCTTCTTGTAATTTTTTTTTTTTTATCTCCCTTCCTTCCTTCCCTCCCTCCCTCCTCCTCCTCCTCCTCCTCCTCCTCTCTCTCCCTCCCACCCTCTTTCTCTCTCTCTCTCTCTCTCTCTCTCTCTCTCTCTCTCTCTCTCTCTCTCTCTCTCTCTCTCTCTCTCCCTCCCACCCTCTTTCTCTCTCTCTCTCTCTCTCTCCTCTTCGCTTGATTATATTCTCGGCTAGATCTGGCGCTAAGATTCTTTTCGCTAGATTAGGCTCTTCAATTAGATCTACTGGCACTGGGATTCTTTATTCCGTTCGGGAGATTAAACACAAGACCCGATACACTTTTCACTGAACTCGACTCCTTTGAAGCATTCGAGGAAATGTATTCTTTTTTTATTTTTCAATAGTAAGATTTGAAAAAAAATATATAAATATTTCCTTTTACTTCATTTCTTAATTAATGGACGGGTTTGATTGAATACTCAGAATCTTCAGCCGGATCTTAACTTGCATTACTTTTCCCTCCTGTCAGAAAGCGATCGGCCCCCCCTCCCCTCTCCAAAGAACGGGTTTCAAATCTCTCGCATTTTTTCCATTCGCCCTTCTTACGCGTCTTGAAATTGAACCTACGATTCTCGCTTGTATTATTCAGCAACTGACTCATTCTCTTTCTTTCACCAATAAACAAAACGCAAAAAAAAGAGTGCTTAAATGATAAAACTGAGAACATCAAAATGGCCGAGCGGTGCAAGCGGCAGACAGAAAGTGATCGTTTCCCTCTCTTGCGCAATTAGCTTATGTTAATAATAGAGACTTGCGTATTCATCACTTTACTAAATAAAACGGGCGATAATGAAGTTTGCGGTTATTATAAACAACAACGTTATAACACTTAACAAAACTATACAAAACAATCTCGCACACAAGCAAAAGAAGTTCGCGATACATGAAACCGCCACGTAAGCGCCAGACAAACCAAACTTCGAATTTGACTTTTAAAACTTTGCTTCCTTGTAGAGTAAAACGTACTTAGGAGACTAACTAACTTTGGAGGGCTACTATTTCGTCACCGTCACCTGGTCACACCTTCAAAGGCTTCGCTACTTTTACGCTTACCTGGGGCTCCCTTAACCAAGTAACGAGGCATAATAATAATAATAATAATAATAATAATAATAATAATAATAATAGCAGTAGTAGTAATAATTATACTAACAGTGATGATAACGAATATATAAAAAAAATATAAATATAAATAATCATAGCATAATACCAATGACGATGATACTGACTTAACATTAACATTACAACTATTGCCGGTACTGCTAATGAAGATGATGAATATGATAACGCTATGGCAATGCATGCTAAATAAATAAATAAATAAACAAACACAAATAACTGGCCGAAGTAGGATGTGCCTGCATTACACATCCTCGCACGTGTGTGTGTCTGACGAGGGTAGGGGCGTGGAGAGGGAGGGGAAGGGAAGAAAAGAAAAGTGAAGAGAGAAGTAGGAAAGGGGGGAAAAAAGTGAGGGTGGGTGGAAGGATGGAAGGATGGAGAGAGAGAGAGAGAGAGAGAGAGAGAGAGAGAGAGAGAGAGAGAGAGAGAGAGAGAGAGAGAGAGAGAGAGAGAGAGAGAGAGAGAGAGAGAGAGAGAGAGAAGAATAATCCAAGCCATATGAATACCTAGCTTTGCATAATGCCAGAGCAAAGACCAAGCGTGGGTAAACTTGATGCAAAGTACCAAAAAAAAAAAAAAGTTAAAACTCGGCAAAGGAAGCACAAGCTCGACTTAATAAAGCAAGATATATATATATATATATATATTTTTTTTTTTTACATGCAAAATTGATTCTTTATTATATGAACAAGGGTGGACTTAAAGAGGACGCGTGTTTACTTCAAAAATTGGTCTGAAATTATTATCCACCGGATCATGCTTACGTCCTGATGAATCTATTCCACTTTATGCAAGAAAGAAAGAAAAAAAAATCCGAAAGGCTAGTAAGGAATTTAGATAACTGTCTTTTTTTCTATTTTTCTATCTATTTATTTTCGTGACCCTATTGCTTCTCGTATTTTCTGAATACTTCCTATTTATCGCATTCAACACAATCCGGCCAGAGCACGCACATGCAAAACTAAAAATAATCATTATTATCTTATTAAAAAAAAAAAAAAAAAAAAATAACTCAATCACAGCAAAGTAAGATAAAATAAAAAAAATAAATAAATAATAGATAAACAACAAAGCTCACAAAACAAACTCAGCGAAGTAAAGCAATTAATAAATACAAGTGTCTGCGTCTGTGTTTGGAAATGAACATTAAAGTGATAAGAAACTCTTAATAGCTGTAAGTACCAAGATGACTAAAAGAAAAAAAAAATGACCACACGAGGGACCAGCGGCCACCAGGGGACACCCCACGCCCGCGGCCACCCCCAGGCCGCGGGCGGGGCAGCCTTCCGGCCACCCGTCTTCCTCCTCTCTCCTCTCCTCCTCCTCCTCCACCTCCTGTCCCCCCCTAGCGTTCCGCCCGCACAACTTACCCTCAAGTAAGTCCCAACTTACGGGTGTGTCCGAGACTGCCTCACCAACACCTACGAATACAAAAACAAAAACAATACAACACATCACAAAAAGGAGGGAGGGGACGGGAAGGGTGGGTGGGGGGGGATGGGAGCCTTCCAACAACAACAACAACATCGCCTGCTGCTTTTACTTTCTCTCTCTCTCTCTCTCTCTCTCTCTCTCTCTCTCTCTCTCTCTCTCTCTCTCTCTCTCTCTGTTTGTTTGCTTCTTTATTGCTGTATCTCTCTCTCTCTAGCTCCCTTTGTTTGTTTGCTTCTTTATTGCTCTCTCTCTCTCTCTCTCTCTCTCTCTCTCTCTCTCTCTCTCTCTCTCTCTCTCTCTCTCTCTCTCTCTTTCTCTCTCTCTCTCTTCCCGTATCACATCCCTTTCTCTCACTGTCTAATACATACATATATATATATATATATATATATATATATATATATATATATATATATATATATATATATATATATATATATATCCTTAGTCTTTCTCATTCTCATCTCTCTCTCTACCATCGCCATCATCATTGTTTCTCTCCCCCCTTCTTTCTCTCTCTCTCATTCTTTCACACACACACTCATACCCAATTTCGCAAACGACGGAGACATGTCCGAGCAAGAACACTCCTTTTCCCCATCAACTGTCCATACAGCGAGAAGTGCCTATCTCTCCCCCCACCCCTCCCCCGCCCTTTTCCCTACTGATGCTCGCGACCTCTCTTCCCCCCCTTTCCCCCGCCGCCGCCCCCCCCTCCCCACATCAGTCAAAATCCTTCTCGTATGCGAAAAAAAAATGGAACTACAGCTTCTGACCCTGTATTCCCGATGCGAAAAAGGGGTACTGATAGGCCTCCAGCAGCAGGATTTATCGTCGATATATTCACAGCATTCACACATGTACACATATACAATTACGCGTTCGCACTCTTTAAAACACAATCGCAAGCACATGCATACATACATACACACACGGACACGTATGCACACACTTTCACAAATATACATACATACATACATACACGGACACGTATGCACACACTTTCACAAATATACATACATACATACACACACGGACACGTATGTACACACTTTCACAAACATACATACATACATACACGGGCACGTATGTACACACTTTCACAAATATACATACATACATACATTCATATTCCGATACAAAATATTATAGATGCATACATGTATAAAGGAGTGTGAAATTTTATATCTAAGCTTAAGATAAAAGCATACGCACTTAATGTATATATATGCTACATGCGCTCTGCACCACCTCCTCCTCTTATCTCCTGAGTTAAATCTAATATTAAATCTTAAAAATTAATCAAGGATGCCGTTCGACATGACATTCCTTCCCATCTTTTCCGTGGAACTAAAGCTTCACACCTTCCAGTCAATCGCTCCAGGTGCAAAACGAACTGTACTGTCTACCGCATATACAGGATTCACACATTCGGGGATTGTCGCTACAGCACCCCCCCACCCCACCCCACCCGGCCCAGCGATGGCGCAGACGGTGGAATCCCCATCCACATGTAGAGTGGACGAGCGCTAGCAGCCCTTCTACCGGTGGACTCGTCTCGTGATTACCCTATATCCCACGCGTGTCACGGCGCTTGAATCACGGCTGCTCAGCTACACAGAGACATTACTTACAGCGACTGACAAGCGAAAACGGGAAAACGAAAAAAAATTAAAAAACAAGTGATATCAACATGTGAATGAATGATGCGCTACGAGACTCCACCACAAGAAGACACAGGCAAACGAACTGACAAGCAAACAGAACGGATAATTAGAAACCAAACATCGCCATACACATTCACAGTCTTTGCCGATAACCTTCCTTTCCCCTTTTCCTCCCTTCCATCCTTCCCCTTCTCCCTCCCTTTCCTTTATAGGCGAGCCACTGAGAGAAGGAAGAGGAAGTGGAGTAGAAGGGCGAAGACGTAAAGATAAAAGAAGAAAAAGGAAAAAGAAAGAAACAAAGAAACGAAGAAGAGAAAAAAGACATTAGAGAAACGGAGAAAAGAAAAGAAATAAACAGTAAAAGAAAAAGAAGAAGAAGAAGAAGAAGAAGAAAACGGAGACGGGAGATGAGCAGGGAGAGAGAAAAGGGAGCTTAAGTAGTAAGTCTTAAAAACAAATACTAATTCACAGGTCAAAGATCACACCCAATACGTACCATCGTTCGACGAGAGTGAGTTCATGATCTCCAAGACGGTGTGTACATCTTCGGGCACGCCCACCACCGCCCGCAACGTCTCCTGTATGCTCCGCGCCACCATT